AGAGCAGGGGTGCCGAGGAGGCCAGGCGGCCTGCGGGTCAGCCGGTCCCCATCTCCCCTCAGCAGAGGGGCGGGAGGACGGGGCGCCGTGAGCGCTGAGCTATCCCCGGGGCGCCTCGGGCGGAGGTGGTCGAGGACAGCGGCCGTACCCGCCGAGGCTGCATCGGGCCCGGGCTGGAAGCGGTTCCTCTAATTTGGAGGACCGCAGAGGCTGTCGAACTGCTGTCCAGGCTTTGCTTAGCCCGGCACCTCGGTTGGTTTCCCAGTTTCCTCGTTCTGTTCCTCTGAATTGTTTCCGATTTTTTTTTTTTTTCAGCTAAATGCAGCACTCGTGGGTCTCAAAGACCCTTAAATTACTGTTTTGCTGAAAAACAGTAAAACAAGTACTCCAGTTAAGGGGATGTTGTAGTTTGACTTTATTTATACTTTTAAAGCTACATAGACTACCTGAACGAAGAAGGCACCAATTGCAAGGAGGACTTGTGAATACCCAACCTGGATTCATATCAGACTAGTTTAAATGTGGTCTTAAAATGGGGCTACTGGAATATTTCTTTCTGGGTTTTAAATTACTCATATCTACTGAATGGGCTTTAAAATGTAATTTAATGAGGCCAGACTTCTATTTCATTGGGTTTCAGTATAACATAATTTTCTGAACTTTGTTAGGCAATGTTCAAGATCTAAGTTTATAGATCTATGTTATCATTCATATTGAGATGACTGTTATGTGAGAGTTTCCTTGTGTATTTTTTTCCTTCTAAACAGGATATAATTAGCTATCATAATATTCTAATTATGTAAACTGTTCCACCAAGGTCAGTAATGCTACTTAGCGTTTCTCATTACTAGAAATTTTCACTTCCTACTAATTACATGAGTCCTATGAGGAGTCAGGAGCTTTTTTTTTTTTTTAATTATTTTTACACTCTGCCTTTGACATTCCTTCAGTGTTTTCACAGAAGAGCTAGTTCAGACTTGTACCATATCTGCATCCTTTTTCCAGTGTTAACCATTTTGTTGTGAGAGCTGGCCACTAGCTGATAATCTTCTTTCTTTCCTAACGAGAGATGATCAAGTGCTCCATGTAATCAAGCCCCTCATCATTATGTCAGCTGTATCCCCAGCTGTCAGTGTTTAAAATTTGGTACTTTCCTTTACTTGAACTCTAGGACTATAAGATTGCAGAAGTAGACTTGGATTTTCTTGAGGTTTTCTCAAAAGAAGCCTCTAAAATTGAATGGAGCCTTGCAGTACTGCCTGATCTTGCAGTTACATCTCTTAATTGGGTCAAAGAAAGGCAGCATAATGGCCCACGGTGAGTTTTCTGCCTATGCTTTTAAAAATTGTTACAAAGTGTTTCTGAACGTTTAGGAAATGAAAGTCTCTTCATCAAGTGAGCAGCCTTCAAATTGAGTAGCCCCCATCTAATACATCTTCAGTAGCTTTCTGTTTCCTCCAGAGACAGTTGATAGCACCTTCTCTGAGTATCTGATAACCTGATACTTCTAACAGTGTTGAATTCCCTTTTTTTCTTTCAGGCCCAAGTTTCCAGTCTGTTACTCTGGTTTCTGCTTTCTCCAGTTTGCTAATAGGAGATTCTCCTTCTTGTAGTATCTGTAGCATTGATTTCTAGAACTAGTTTTCAAAAAAGGTTCTCATGAAAGGAACATTGAAACTTTGTTTCAGATCAGTACTCTTCACTATAGCCACAGATTTGCACTTGAGAATATTGGGAATGTTTTCAAAATAGTGTAAATACTTCAGGCAGGTCCTAGTAGTTGTCCTGTAATCCTCCACACCTGCCAGCTGGTCTAGGTATGTTCCTGTAGCAAGAGTAATGCTATCTAAACCTCCTCCATTTCTTTTCTGTCAACTTAGCAATTAACCCTTATGTTAGTGTCACTGGCTAAGCTTCACACTTTCCCTAAGGAGGAGGTCTCAGTTCCACCCTGCCAGTAACTGGCTTTCACCAGACCCTTTGGTGGTCTGAGCAGAACTCAGATAGCTTTGCTTTTTTTGTTGGTTTTTTGGTTTTTTTTCTCCTGCTAATTCAGCTCAAGGAACCAGCCTGCTTTGGGTCAAACAGGTGTCAGCCCTACCACAAGGGAGGGGATGCACTGACAGGAGCTCCAATTTAGATTATTTTAGGCTAAACTGGATCTTTTCCTTAACAGAAATCCCACTACTGTCCTCTAAATCAAATCCATTGAAATGTCAAACCCAGACTGAGAAAAAAGTAGGTCTGTTGAACTGTGTATCAGAAGACACAGATTTAAATTGTAGGATAATTTTAGTGGTGTACAAAATTGTTATCACCTAGCTATAATGTAGCAGGTCATCTCCTAACTAGTTAAGGCAGCAGCTTTTACTTCTTTCCTTCCTTCTAGTTCCAGTGCTTATCTGAGCAAAAGTTGGTTCAATTTGCTAAACTGTCAAAAAAGTAACCCAGTTAAAAAGAAAAAGGTACTAATAGATTTCTGCTTGTTCAGTGACTTTAATAGGCTTAGGTGTGTGATCTTCTAAGTGTCAATAATAACACAGAGGAAGCAGAAAGAGCACATGGCCAGGAGCACTGAGGAGAAAGAGAAGGGCTTGTCCTTCCCTTGTGGTGTGTGGTGGAGACAATTAGGTGCTTCAGAACACATCATCTCACTTTCAGTAATTTAAATATTTTTCTAATCTGGAACAAATCAAAGCTCAGTTTCTTATTTCAAGTGAAAGACTACCAGTGTTCTAAAGGAAATTATAAAATCTTTAAAGATCAAATTTTTAAAACATTTAAGAAAACTATTTCAGCACTGTTTCACTGATATATATTAATTTTCCATCGTTGTAGCACAAAATCCTAAGGACGATCATAGTTCTTCTCACCCTTGCTTTTTACACTTGCAGTGAAAGGCTTCTGGCAGATGTATTGGTAAAAACTTTCCAGTTAGGACTATAAAAACTAACTTTTATGACTGTAGTGGCAGATAACACTAATCCTTCTTTTTCCTTCATCATGACTACATAGAAATTTAAATATACTACAAAGCCAAAAAACCTAAACAGTATTCCTGCCAGCCACTGTCTGTGTACTTTAGATACGTGCCAGAAAACAAACATTATCTGCAGCTTTTAGTAGTTTTAAGATTGCTGCTTGACAGAAAGTGTTAGTACTGCTTACTGGCTCAGTTTCACCTTGGGTCATTTCAACTGCAGCTCTGCAGACTACAGGATCTTTCAGCTGGTTTGTTACTTGTGCTTATTAGTTGGTTCACATTTTACTTTGATTTTGTTACATAGAATTGTTAGGTTTATTTTCAAGTGTTAACTAAGTTTGCCTCAGTACTGCAGGAAAATGGATCTAAACATTATTCTTAGCATACAAAAATCCCGAAATGAGTTTGACAGCTAGTTTAGGATTAAAGCATAATTTGTTTAACAGAACAAATTTAGATTAAGGTGGTTTACACAGCTGACTTAAGGCATTTAAATGGAATGGTGGACAGGACCAAAACAGAGTGCTTCACTGAGAATGGTAGTAGGCAGCAGTATGTAGGTGAGGGTAGAAGAGGTAGGAAAGCAAGAACAAGAAATTAGTCTCCTTTAAGGAATATGCCTAATGGTTGTGTAGTGACATCTTTTGATGCTGTCTCTCCCCCTTTTGTTTTGTTAGGTTGTTGCTGACAGTGAAAGATCTTCTCTTAAAGCTGTTTAAATGAGAATGTCCCTGGCACAAAGAGTACTACTGACATGGCTTTTTACATTACTTTTCCTGATCATGCTGGTGCTAAAGTTGGATGAGAAAGCACCTTGGAACTGGTTCCTCATTTTCATTCCAGTATGGATATTTGATACAATTCTTCTAGTTATGTTAATTGTAAAAATGGCTGGACGTTGCAAGTCTGGCTTTGACCCTCGCAATGGCTCCCAAAACATCAAGAAAAAAGCCTGGTATCTCATTGCAATGCTACTTAAATTAGCCTTCTGCCTTGCCCTCTGTGCTAAACTGCAACGATTTACTACAATGAAACTAGCCTACGTATTTATCCCTTTCTGGGCCTTGCTTATTGGGGGTATGATTGAACTTGGATATAATATCTTCTATGTACGAAGAGACTAAGCTATACTATGTGGTTTTCAGCGCCGAGATTGGTACCAAATTGCTGGATTATTATACTTTTGCCACAAACTTGATCTCCAAATTAGAATGCCAAGTACGAAATCAAATCAAGCTGGAGGCTTATCTACACCAGGCTGAAGACTGAAAGTAGACTTGTTCCATTTTTTATTTTAAACAGTCACATACGCTCTTGTAAATAAAAGTACTTGTTCAACATAAACTGTTCTAATATGATTATTACTGTTATTTGTTACATTATAGCATACAGGCTCTTCACATGCAGATAGATCTTGTCAAAGGAACCACACATGTTCTACTGCAGAGCATTCAGCACATTGGGTAATCTTTAGAAAGAGGACTTAAGTTTTCTATTACTTATGCTGTCACTCAAAAAATAACCAATTAACAGTAATTTCTATAACATGCTAAACTTGCTTTAAGAGTCAGTGACAACTGATAGCTGCCAAATAAGAGCAAAAAAGGAATAAAGTGACACAGCACTTTCTTTTTGACAATGAGAATACACTTCCCGTCTGAAAGACTCAAAATAAGCACTGTCTTTTTAAGCCGCTCAAACAGACAATAACCAGAATGTTCACCAAGGGAAAACAGTTGCTGAATTGTGCCAGCAGTCCAAGATCCAGAAAGGGGGAGACAATGGCAATTACCTTTCCAAGTGAGAAATCCCAAGGGCTGTAAGACTGGAGCTACAGGGCAAGTTCTGGAGTGCCTTTGTATCTGCAGGAATTGGTACTTTAACAGGGAAAATGTTTTTTAGTACTCAGTATATTTGGTCTCTGGAGGTGAAGCCTGGGCTTTAAGGAGTACTGGCAAACTCACCTGTGAGTAAATAAACTTTTTCAAGTAACAAATTGAATGAATGTGACTTCTGGGAAGAGCTGGAACCATGAGCATTTTTTGTGGACTGAAAGTGCTGTTCTAGGAGCTACAGTAACACCAAATTCTAATGTAAAAGTTCTCTAGGACATTATTAACATACATGATGAAGATACTGATCCATTTATATTTCCTAGGTATTAAAGAATGTCTAGTCAATGAAAAGAGCTCAGCAAAAACAGTCTAAGGTAAGAGGAGATGGCTAGATCAAAGTGTCTTACAAATAAAATTTCAATTATGTACACTCAACTGGACTTTCCTTTAACAAAAAAAAAATCTTCCTCAAGTGTCTGGATTTTCTGCTTGCTGTTCAGTTACAAAGACATGGGCATAAATAAATATATGGGAACTATATTGTGAGAGACTCCTGAAAGTGCTTTATTTAAGAAAACAACCTGTTCCACTCTAAAGCAATGGCTCTCAATTCACAACACCAGGTAACAATGATCTTTAGAAAGCATTTAAGTCATGTTTAATTCAGAGTGATTGACTGTCCTACCTTGCTAAAGGAGAAAGCAAGGAACGACAGAGAGGGACAAAAATATCTTTCTAATCATTAGCAGGTGTAAAAAATGCAAAATATTTATAATGAGTTATTATAATAATGTGTCAACTTCTACTAAGCAACTCCGCATGCTCAGCCCGTTTACAAGCATCACATAATTTACAGGGAGCTGAAACTACCATTTAGAAATTCTTTTTTTTTCAGTGCCTATCAGGAATGGTTCTTTCTGGGAGATGTATCTCTGCCTTACTTCGTTCTGAAAAATACTTCATGGAAGGACCTTGCTCAGTGTTTGAGAGAGTTTTGGCTACTCATCGAAGGTTCCAGGGAAGAACCTGCTTCCTTCCCTGTCTGTGATTTTTCAAGTTAAAATGGCACTTGTGATTAGGGTGAGCTGTGGGGAGAGGGGAAGAGTGTCCATCTCAGGCCTCCTGACTACAGGAGATGCAAGGGCGAGCATGCACATATGTATATATGCGTGTTTAAATATGGTATAGAGAAAATGCTTAATTTGTACATCCCATTTAGTCCTCTGAAACAGTTCTTCACTTCTGTCAAATGGAAACCAGGGTCACTGGGCCTTCTAGAATGCAATATTCCAGGTATGGCCCATGGCAGGCAAGCTGGACCTCACATGGAATTATTATCGGATGCTTCAAAAATTTATGGAGAAGAGTGTCTAAAGACCTACCTCAAATTAAGGTAAAATTTTATAAACCACTTAACAAACATTGCTGCAAATAGATAGCAAGCATTTAAGTACTTTAGAAAAGGCAAATACATACACACACATCTCTATTTAGTGTGTTATGGCACCCAAGCATAAAACAGTACCCACAGTCTTTCCTCTGATGATTATCACAGAATAAAAGAAAAAAAGCCCTGTTCACACAATGCCAAAAAAATCCCTACTGCTGGGAAGAGCAGAACAGCTTTCCTCAGGCAAGCTGCTGCTGTTAACGGATTGTTGTAACTTAACAAATGAGGGGAGAATAAGAACTAGCTTATTAGGACTTGGTATATTATTAGCAAAATGGGCCACAAAGAGTGACTCTGCCCCCTTAATAAACCCCTTCTGTTCCACAGATGTAACAATTATCTGAAAGTTTGGCATCTCTAATTAACTCAATTTGAACACAGTTGTTCCAAATCTCCTTTTAATTGCTGCCTCTAATTCAATAGAAGGGGGCCAACACTTTCAGTGTTTTGGTTTTTGCCTTTTTTTTTTTTTTTTAAAGGTTTACAAACCTTGAAATACATGAGTGATTTTGAAAGCTGAAGCAGACATTTCTTTCTGGTGTCCTACAGAAGTCACGCACAAATGTGGTGTTTTTAGGACGCAGGCATGTAGAAGTGCTCAACTTTGCTTGCAGGCTCCTAGTTTACAGACAGACCTTGATAACGGGTACATCCCTTTTGACTTAGTACTTCCTATCAGGTTTAACTGACCTGAGCTGTGCTGACACCTTTATACACGCAGTCTTGCCCTTTTATGATGGCAGAACTTAAATCAAAAGGATTTGTGGTACAAAGTCCACTGCAGCCCACTGCGACCTTTGCAGAAGCTGTTGCAGGAATTCTCTCTATACAGAAGTTACTCCCTTCTCAAAGGCACTGTTCATGGCCTTGAGATGCAATGAGTTCTTGCGCTTTTTTTGAATTTTACAGACTGATCCACTGATCTTCATTAAACAGAACAAAATGAGTGAAAAGCAGATTGGATTAAGCTGTCAGGGAAAAGGGGAAGTTCATGCTGACATGGCTCGTACTGATTTGGGAGAAACGGGCAGAAAGAAATGACGATCCAAGCACCCAGCATCCTAGAGAACACCGTCTCTGGGTAGTGTGCTGCAGCTGATGCAGGGTATGAAGCAGAGAACTTTGCCTTCAGGAGCTTTGTTTTAAAATGCAATTCAAAAGCTTGCTGTTCTGAAACGAAAGTGGAAGTATTGTTGTGCATTGATTTTATATATAATATATATATTGATGAGGTATACTGTATATGGAGATAAACATTCTACATAATTTATTTCTCTTTAAATCATTTATACAAGCTTGAACACTTTAGTATGCACTGTAGACTAGTATCTACTTTGTCTGATTAAGGAAAATACTCAGTGCCCGTGTGGGAAAGATCATGAAACAAATTTTAAACTACCTGTTACCTATTCACACTGCTTTTCTTGATTTGTCACCATTGTAGAATAGTATCCAGTTTTCCACACTTTTTATACTTGAAAAATACAATTATGTGATCTATACATCCCCACCTTCAACAAACTTTAACCTGAACCCTCTAAGAACCTGTGTACATGCACCCAAAATGCACTGCTAGGCATGGGTGACAATATTAAAAAATAAGCTAGCACAGGACTAAATTATACAGCGATTTAAGAGACGAAAGCAATATTATTTTCTTACACATATGCATAGTAGTACAGAAACAAAATCTTAAGAGTAACCTCATGGAAATTTTCATAGTTGGGTGACACAAAGGTATTGATCAAAGTCAAATGTGTGAGACTCCCAGAAACTCAGAATTGTAGTAACATTAGGTGTTACCTGTTTTAACACCACTGTATTTTGGGAAAAGTAACATTGCTTTTCAGTAATAAAGCTACTGGGTAACTGCACCCTCAGAAATCAGTTATTTATTAGCACAGAAAGCACAGCACTACCATGTAACATGAGACTTTTTTTTTTAATTTAGATTGAGGTAAAAATAACTACACGGATTTGGAAAAAAGAGTGTTTGTACCTTTTCATTGTACCTTCATTGCTTTAAGGTCTGAATGGAGTTAGTCTCCCGTATGAGCTGTTTAGACCTCAACAGGCCTGGGTATCAACTTGCTGCTGAAAAGCATCAGGCTTTGTGGCCTAAGGCAATTTAAGGAAGCACTGCAGTTAAGACCACCAGAGTACTATTCAATTTTAATTCAACAATTTCTCCTTGTAGTTGTTCTGAAGTTGGATAAAGAGTAGAAAAATCTGCAACTCAATAACACTGTTTCCTGCAGTCTGCCTTTTCTAACAAAACCAACATCACAAGCAGGCAAATGTAAAAGTCTTCATACAGCGCAGAGTGACAGTATAAGGGCAAGAAACAGGGAAGAAATGAGAACCCAAACTTAGTTTATCTGTGTTAGTTTTTATCTCAGTGTTCCTTTTGAAGTTTATAAAGATATAATAGAATCACAGAATGGTTTGGGTTGAAAGGGATCTGAAAGCCCATCGAGTTCCAACCCCCCTGCCATGGGCAGGGACACCTCCCACTAGACCAGGTTGCTCAAAGCCTCATCCAGCCTGGATTTGAACACCTCCAGGGATGGGGCATCATCACTGCTAAAAAGAAATTTTTAGTCTAAAAAAATTTAATTTCTGAGGTTAGCAAAAGATCTCACCTGCATCGATTAGACAGACAAGTACCTGTGTGTTATTACGGCATGCTTAAAATATAGCTTTAGCAATCTTGACTTATGTCACATTAGTCTTCCCCACACAGGTCTAATTCTCAAGGTTTCCTTCTTCTCAGGACACCTGGGAATAGTTTTCTCAGCTAACTGCCCTATTTTTTCCTCAATACAACCAGAGTAAAACACTGCCATAAAAAGCACAGTCCTTAAAACACAGGCCTAAGCTATACCAAACATTGTACTTGCATTCAGGTGGACTGGAAATTCATTGGTAAAAGAAAACAGTATCAAAATAGTTACTGAAAAATCAAACTTAATAAAAATAGAAGTTTAAACTGCTGTTTTAATCAATGTTTGTATCAGATTATCATAACTGTACACCAAATATTAAAGGACTATTCAGGACTAATGCCCTCATCAGTAGGCTCATCTATCAGCATGACCAGAACATGAGAAGACCAGTGTTTAGCTGGCACTTGGGTACAGCACAGCTCCAAAGCAGAGGAAATACGACTATCATAGCACAGAGAAAAACAGCGGTTAGAATATAATACACTAAATTTGCAAAGGCAGTATCCCTGACGAGTCTACTAGAAATAGCAACCTAGATATTGTGAAGTTAATCACGGCTTCTGAACAGAACACAAAATAATTCGCATTTCTAAGAAACGTGAAATGAGCGACTAATGGGAATCAAAGTTTCCCAAATTTTCCCATGTACGCTGCAAATTCAGTGGGGTCTGCACAAAATATCAGTATCGCCTATTATACAATTCTTAAAGTGCATTTCATCAGTTTGAGAAAGTAATAACATATCAGCTGAACACAGTGACTCACAATCAAAGAAAACATTTTCGACAGTGTCATTCACAGCAAAGCACAGATCAGTGAAAATTTGTCCTTTCCATTTCCAACTTGTATACATTCACAGTAACGTAAAAGGCGCTGGTCTGCCCAAAGACAGGGTTCTGCAAATACCTGACCACTAGAAAAAAATGAATAAAAATACACTTGAGAAGCCTGCAAAGTTCTTTTTATCTTCTGATCAAAATTAGTACAGTTTTCATCCTAGTAGGGTCACATGGTAGTCTACTATCTCACAACAGTTGATTTGACAGTGACCATGGAGAAAACATTGACTTCTTCCAATTAATTCAGCATCCTTATTCACATGTAGGTATTAGAAAACAGTCATTTTGATCAAGGAATACCAGTCCTGCGTTTCTTGGAAGACTTATTCAATTTTCCAAATCTGTAGTGTTCGGATCTGTTTCACAGCATTCTACTATTTTATGTTTCCATTTCCTACATCATTTGCAAGGCCAACTTATTTACTGTGCACATGTATATCTGCTTAAAAATCAATTTTATTTATCACCAAATAATTCTTTCACAGATGAATACTTAAATCATCACCCTCTGAAATAATACTTTATTTCTAATACTAGATAGAATTAATATTTCAGTTAAAGAAGTATTGAAATATTCACTATAGTAACAAGGAAGGGAAAATCTGCATGCCAGCCGTACCTGTAATGAAAATGCTGTTTCAGAGTCAATCTGCAGGCATTTGGAGGGCTGGGAGATGACACAACACTGAGTAACACTCGTATGTAACACATGAAGTCAGTTGCCAGTGAAATGCAAAAGATCCAATAATCTTTAAAAAACAAAAGTAGCTACCATCTTGAAAGCTATTGGTAGTAACAATGCAATCCTTTGCTACCCACAAATACGGTACCAATATCTAGGAAAACATTTATAAATTTCTGCACATCATGTCATTAACTGGAACACCACTGCAAACGCACAGATGTCGATACCATTGCAGTACAGGCAAGAGGCCTTAAGCAGATTTTTCCAATCTGCAGAAGAACAAGGGCCAAGAGAGACAGCTAAAACACTGGAGATTTCATTGGAAATAACAAAGATTTATATAAAACTGAAATCTAGGAAGGGGGAAAAAGCAATAAGCAAAAGACTAGTTTCAGTACATCAGAAGGCAGGAAAGATTTATTGCTGAAGCAAAAGTCTGGATATGAAGTTGTACGCAGCAGGAATAAAGGTTATAGCATAGGACCACTTGAAACCAAAGCAAGACCTTTGTCAGACTAATGAACAATCTGGGAGCTGAAATTCTCAGAAAAGGCACTCCCCTCTTAAAGAGCAGACGCATCAAAATGAATACACCACAGGTAGAGGACATTTTTTTTTTTTTTTTAAAGAAAAGTAAGTAGTACACACTAATATAGCCAGTCGACTGCGCCTGTTTACACCTTTGAATACAAAGGGAGTTCTGATAGCCACTGGCAATCCCGGTATTGTTCATGTTCTGTCTGCAATCTAGTCCATCTCAAAAATAAAAAATATGCATAAAAATGGCAAAAACTGACACTTAAAAAAAAAGTCTCTTAATATTCTGACAGTGATTTAAAAAAGAGGGAAAAAGGGTTGAAGATGTAGGCAGTTTAGAGGCAAAATTTCAGAACCAAGACATACCTGAGCCGAAGTTTGAGACTGTATCAGCCAAGACCACTGAGCAGGTCTTCAAAAGGAAACCAAGTTCTACTCTTAAGTGTAAAGTCATGTTTGCTAAACCATTTACAATTTTTTTTTTTTCCCTCCAGTCTAGACAGGCCCTATGATGCAGAAAGTTGTGTGCTGTCAAGGGGGATGTATACACTCTACTAAAATTTGACAGATTTAAAAAAAAAATACTTGAACTAGAATGAACGTCAGCATATGGATCACCAGCCTACAAATAAGATTTCTTTTTTTAAGTAAACTGAATAGGGTTTTTCTTTAAAAAACAAGTAATATCTGGCAAGGCTGGTTTTGATAAAGCTGGAGCCTTCTGCTAACCCACTTGGCAAGCTGTATGCTTGGTGCAAACTACAACCTGCAGCTCTTTTACTGTTCTCCAACAGCTGGCACAGAGAATGGAATGGGAAGCTACATAATTGTGTACGGATGTTCATAATGCCAAAGAGATTACACATGGAAGTTTCCAGATAATCCAGAAAACCAAAGGGAGCTGAGACCACACCTCTATCAGGAAGGCTCAAATTCTTACACAAACCGATTAGTTTTTCAAATCAGAATCTGCTAGAGTAACAACTTACCATGTCACACATTAATCCTTTGCTCATGGCATGGGGAGAAAGCAAGATCCCTGAGGCTGCAGAACTGGTAGTAATCTCTTAGCCAGCATTAAAGAAAAGAGCAGTAAGACTTGACATATTAGCCACATCCATTCATGTTTCTATTGCTTCTCTAATACATAATTATGGCTATGTAGGAGTGATGATTAGCAATTCAAATACTACTTTAATTAGTAATTCCTTGACAGACCTATTTTAGATTTAAACACATCAGGGCACTCATCCATTAAACGGCTGATTCTAGTGCCAGGCATAAGCACGCAGTAACATTTTCAATTTTAACAATCTATAAGCAAAAAATGTTTGCAACAAAAGGGCCTCCAGTAGTTGAATTAGACATCACTTGGAGTTCTACTGCTACAAATGAAGCCAAAGTGATTGCTAAGTGCATCGAAGGTTATAAACTGGGTACATAAAGATGTACAGCTTGCAGAAAGTTATAGGGAAAAATTATTAACAAATCAGATACAGAGGGCTTTGGAAATAACAGGCCTAGGATGTTAAGCTTTAAACATTCTAGTCGAAGGACAAGCTGTAGGGCAGTTTACTGCTGTTTGTAGCTACCTGAAAAAAAAGCATCATTCAGATGTGTTTGAACTATACAGTAATACATTACACAAAGAATTAAATAAGTTAAATGACAGAGTTTTTGCCATTACCACATCAGATGCTAGCTAGCCTTGAAATCCTCTTCCCTCAGAACACATCTTAAGAGAATTCAAGCGTTCCATGGGTGGGGAAAGAGGAGAACAGTTAACTTGGATGCCACTATTATTTTCTTAATGAAATAACTCCTGCTTCCAAGCTGGGGCTCATGAGGAATCTTCTTACTAGACACACTGGCGAACAGCTTTATTGCCTGGAGCTATCAGCATAGGGAGCTATTCAAAGCCAAATGTGTCTCAGTGAATTACAGATCACTGCTAAAGTTGAGGCCTTTACAGCTTGATAGACAACCATTTAAATATTCTTTGTTTTAATTTTAGTCAGATAACTGATTTAAGTTGAGGAGGGTAGTTGTTGTTTTTAATGTGAAATGGAACTGTCTTAACTATGGCTTGTGCCAGGGGAAGAGGCACAGAAGGGAGTTTGCTCCAGCTCATCTAGAGATGCAGACTGTTCCTGGCAGCGCTCCTGGAGCCCGCTGGGTGTCCAACTGACCTCCACAACAAGGGAAGGTTTGCCTCTCTGTTCCACATTAACATCCGACAGCAGGAGTATAGGGAGTGCCTTTAGTGAGCAACCGTAAGGAATCCTGTGAAGGGAGGGCTGATTTTGCATTCTGACTAATCTCGATTTACAAAGAATGCCTCAACTCTACCTCAGCTTGCTACAGCTCCTCACCCCACAACGGTGTAAGGGCATCCTATGCATTAGTGCAGGTAGAAACATAACCATTTAGAGAGGCAGTTAAACTGAATTATTTTTTTGCAGACCCAAAAATAAAACCAATCTGTTATTATGAACCTTTATTAAGCGGCTCACATTTCAGTATAAATCACACTAAAAAGATTTTTAAAAAAGATATTTACACTACAGTGCTGACACATTTAAAATGAAAAAATTGGTATAAATAAGCTCTATGGAAAAGCCTGGAATTGTCAAAAAGAATTCTGGCTCATCTTACAAAAAATATATATGTTAAATGTCAGCTCTACTCTAAAACCTACAACTCAAAATTATTTAGACTTCTTTATGTTAAACCTGCAGTGTTTACAGTGCATCTGGCCCTAAGTGCTTTGATACTTCACAGTTATGGACAGGCACTGAGGAATGTTACAAAGCTACATAATTATTTTCTGTAACAGATGCGAAGGCAAGTCACAAACTTGCCTCACAGAATTTATGAATTATTACATCATTAAGTTTAAAAAGGAATTTAAAACCATATATACAAATTTAGCACAAAAAATCATCCTCTCTTTGTCCATGCAGTTTTGGATATGATGAACTACGTTGTCTTGTATCATCTGGATGTACGTGACCTCCAGGGCATAACTTGCCTTGTAAGTCCTTGCTGCCAGGTTCAAATTTAGAATCCATTTCCAACTTAAATGCCGTCAATTCAACATGATCCAATCTAGTCTGAACATTCTGGCCCCCGACGTCATTAGGTGCCACTGTCTTTTCAGATAGATCAACATTCATTGGTTCTTCTTTTATTCGGTGAGATGCAATAGGTTCATGTTTTATCGGCATAAATTCTTGCTGCAGATACTTCGTCTGCAGAGCATCTGAAAATTTGGTGTCTTCAGAGGTATTTTTGCTTATTGTACAAATTCTGTTGTCACTCTGAAGTCCAATAACTGAAGACTTGGGGTCTGCAGAAGTCCCTGCTTCAACAGTACTTGTATTTTGAGAAGGTTCTTCCTCTGAATGATATAGCTTGAGCCGGATGTGCCAAGCCAAACTGCACACAGCTGAAACTGTTTTGAACTGGTGCACAACATTCCTTGGGATAAAATAAATGTCGTTATCAAATAACTGAATTCTGGCATATCGAATCCCTTCCCTTCGCAGTTGATTAAGTTTTGCATCATCAACCCACTGGACACACTGGAAGGAAAAAGGAGGGGAAGAAAAAGGGTGAAAACTCTCATTTAGTACAGAGGACACCTGATCAACAGGTCATAGGACAGTTACCTGTGAGAGTGGAGGCTCATGCAAGTCTAACTGCATTCTCTGAACTACCTCCAAGAAGTCTTCAGCATGAAAACAAATTACATCTTTGGTTATACGAGGCTGCTCAGACCTACAGAAGAATAAGAATTGCACAGTCAGAGGCTGAAACAAACATGCTACGGAGAATAATAATAAATCTGCAAGCAACGATAAAGCAAATGATTAAAAAAACCTCCACAACTCTAGTGTAACCTACATTTTGAAAGGTTGAGTGAAATGGTTAATTCTCAAACACAACTTCATTAAACTGGTTAAATGAATTAACCACAATTAGTGGCAGGAAAAGCAGAAAATGAAAGGTCAGCAAAACTCACTATTTTTAATTTTTCTTTTTAATTGACCTCTGTCTGCCTTCACGCTGAAAGACGCACCCCAGATACGCTGAGCTTACTCTGTCAACACTAACACGATACACCCATCAGGTACCTCAAAGCATGCAGCAATCTGACTAGTATTACGGCAAACACTGCTTAGTATCTTAGCCGCAAGCACCTTGTTCAGAGTTAGTAGTAAAGCAGAATCTACATTAAGCTGTCACAATGCTAGTAAGTAAGCAGCAAATACTGAAATGTTCCACAAAACGCCCGTAAAAAATACATTCCTATTTGTGCTCACTAGAGAGCTACAAAAAACCAAAATCTGAAACAGGGTTTCTCTCCTTATTCAAATTGTTAGAAGTCACCTCTTGTCCCACAACATCTCCTCCGAATAAATGCACACCATTTATATAATTCCTCTAGAGACATTATCTAGAATGAGCTAACAAAAGGCAATACCAGCTATGATCCTTATCACTTTCTGATCTAAAAGCCAAACTCAGTTCTTCAACAGAAACATATGAAACTAAGCTCCATGTGTTTGTTTTTGAGGAATGCTTGATTTTTAAAAGGTTTTTTTAAAGTTTGGTGATACAAAGAATTAATTTACATAGGATAAAGCTCACATCGGAGTGGTTTTGCAAGGAAAATCTATCAGCCAGAAAGAGCCTGGCTGATTACTTTCTTCCTTCATCCCCTGCCAAGTCCTCCTAGGGCTGACAGGAGTGCAACACCTTCCCCTGCAGCTGGCTGCTGTGCAGTAACAGCACGCAGGCTGCACATCCAGGCGCTGCTGAAGGCAACCACGAACAACCGGGCGTCCTCCTGCCTCCCTCACACCCGCAGGGCCAGGCTGGCTCCCGCGCCCCACCGGGCAGCCTTCCCCTCGCCCCGCACCCCATGAGTGCAGATTTACCAGGGCTCACAGGAAATGCTGATGCAGCAATACAGTTTGATGTGTTTCAGAATTTGTTTCATGGATGTTCAAGCACTCTTTTTTAAAAACATGATGACAAGCAATTTATATATATAGATCTATTTTACATATATGTGTACTAACATCTTAAGAAGCAGGCCATGATGTACTGTTCATTGGACTTGTTAAACTGACGAGATGTTTATTTTATTTAGGTTATGACCTCAATAAAGCAAAATATAACTAGTTTGAGGTTATTTTCAGGGAGGAAAAAATCCCAGATCAACTACTAAAACTACACAAGGGAGAACTTTCAGACCACACATTTTACTTTCAATTTTACAAATCTTAAAACGTCTCTCTGTATTTTGGTCTACATACTCCTTCAGAGGATTTAAGCACCGAAAGCAAAAAGCTTACAGAAATATCTCTAATCAGTGGTATAAAAAAAATATTAGCAACATTCATCTACTTTTTATAATGCATTTATGTTTGTTATTTTTTTCTAAGTCCCTATAAATACCTGCAACAGTATACATTACCAACTCTGTGCTGCAATTCTGTCACAAAACATGACATTCATTTTCCAAACACAGCAGACAAAAATTATTGCCAGATAATTTTTAATTCTGCATGTGTAGATTTGATATTTAGCACAACTTTGAGATTATATTCTGTAAAATCCAAAATTTAGAGGGGCTCCCTCCTCCCCAAGCAAAACAGTAGCAGAATAGTTAGATGTCCAAAAAGACATTAAATCCAAACAGAACTATAAGATGACTTCAGTAAAATCCATTTTAGCCCCTACTAGAACTCTGCTGGAACTATTTTTGGCAAGATTTTTTTTTCCTTAACCTCATTCTTCAAAAGGGCTGGACTCTTTTTGCTGTAACCTTTCAAAACAGATTTAAGATTACAGGTTTTCCATGAATATTTCTGACCTAACGCTTAAAGTCTGGCAATATATAACAAATTCCTATGATCATATAGAGAAGCACTAACAACTTCATACTATTGAACACAAAGTTGAAAGCCTCTTGCTGAAGCACAGGACAGGGGAATTTAATTTTGCCAGCAACCATGTCATGAAGTGTCTTTTGCTGTCCCTGTAAAAAGCCACCACAATTTCCTATGTAAAAGAATCTTCAAAATTTCCATAATTTAAAATTTCACTGCCATTTCATAAGTTCTAAAGCATGCTTGGTATGTATCACCCACAAAAATGGCATTAGGTAACCAGCATGATCACAACACTGCTGTTTATCAGATTTCAATGCAGTGCAGTATTCAAATGTTTGCTAGCAATAGCCAGAACCCTTCTACAATTTGTAATTATTCACAGAATAGATTATAGCCAGAACCCTTCTACAATTTGTAATTATTCACAGAATAGATTATATATATACACAAAACATCTGTAATCAGGAGCCTGTCATATATGGGAGAGCACAATTAGTTTTCTGTTCTTCCAAATACTATATTTTGTTTCCAGTTCTGTCCTCTATCCCCAGAAGCCGCTTTTTGCCTTTCAACAGTTCTGTTCCTGTCTTTTCGGAAAGATACGAGTTATCCTACCTAACATTAACATCCATGCCTATCAACTACTAAATAAATCCCACCTGCCTTAAATCTGTGGCAACTTCTTGATTACAAAGCTTTTTGTGCACACCCAATTCATTTTTATACTAACTAAACACAAACTAACAACTCAGTGCAGCAAGTCTACAAATTGCTTTATTTTCTTCTCACATAAAACATGACTTTTATATATGGTATCTCATCATTAAAACATGTGCCTTTTTACTGTCATCGTGCCCTAATCAGCCCTGGAATATCTCCAGCTTTCAGTTTTGTTTAACTACTTGGAAAAAAAACCCCACACCCTACCCAGATTTTTCAAAACTTACATGCATTTCCTTCAAAATATATATACCCACAGATTACAAATTACAGTAAAGCTAGTATCTGAAATTATTTTAATGTGTTACATTAATTAATGATGCTTCATTACCATAAGCCCTGATTAGTTCTTTTCATGTAAGCACAGTGAAGTGGCTTTTCCAAATTATGCAAAAAAGTGGAAAGGGAAAGGAGATATCATTGAGGTCAAATCAAGCTTGAAATACATAAATTTTACTATATTATCTACTTTCCTTCTCTACATAGGTCAGCCCCAGTTTTTTTATTTTGCATTAAAAGATACATTTTCAGTCCTTACACTGAAGTGAAATTGTGAGAGTTTTTTTTCTTCCCCGTGAACTGAAGCACTTTGAAGTCTGTTGCAGTTTTGCCTATTGTCAGACCACTTTTTAATCTACACAATTTTTGTTTTTACTAGTTCCATTCATCTTTTCAAGTTTAAAAGCCTTCTTAATGGAAGCTGAATAGCCCCTCTTTTCCGTAAGTTCCAATGTATGAGAGATGATGGTTTAAATCTGAGTCACATGAAAAGCAAGAAAACTTATTTTTGGAATGTAAATGAACATGTAATGATTTCCAAGGGAGAAGGATCTTGTTACAAAGGTACAGGATAAGAATGGGAAGTTCCTACAGACATCTAAATTACTATCACTTTAATTTCTTATTGATTTCCACAGGCATGTAAGTTTAGGGAATGGGGTTTTGTTTGTTAGGGTGGGTTGTTTTGTTTTGTTTTTTCCACTTTATTTGATAAAGCTTTGAGTCTCTCACATATGTGCAAAGTGCAATTTAAAATAATCAGATCTACAACAGTATCTCAGCTCTTGCCCTGCTAACACTGCTCAGTCTTAATTCACTCCAGCTTCTCACAATCGCAGCAAGCAGGAAGTTTAAGGCTCCAACTATCATCTACCTGAAGAGGAAGTAAACTGAAAAACCTCAGAGCCCAAAATAAAAACCAATTAACATCTGTACAACCCAGTTCTTCCCCAACAGCAATTGTTCAATTTTCTATCTAAATGAACTCATACACTGCAACACAAATTTGCATAATTTAATTTAAAGGGAATTCACTTTTCTAAATTCTAGACAGATATAAAGAGCAAAAGGTGGGTTTAGTGTTTATATATGTAAAGGTAACCTCAAAAACTAACGCCATTCTCCCAAACCACAGTTGGAAGATGCTGAAAAATCCTTCTCAGATCTGGGCCAGGAAGACCATATGACTAAGGGCTTTTTATTTGTCTAAAATGTAAACAGCTTAAAGTGAGATACACTCATTTCCTGAATGTCATATGAGAATTCCAAAGACAGACACCAAAGAATATCACACAACCTCCAAAAGGATTCTTCCTAGGTGATCTACCATAAGTAAATCAGGGTTATAACAGGCATGACTTCTTAACAGAAGCTTCAAATTCTGCTCATCTCCAGACAACACGAAAAATTGCTGAAATGCCTTAATGTGCACTTCTAAGGCAGAAACTCAGGTCATTCCGTATGCACTACTTAAAGCAAAACAAAGTGTAAAGTGTCTTTACATCTAACATTAACTCAGTTACAGCAACTCAAGTGGAGCTATTAAACTGTCATTGCAAGGCACCTTTCTAGTCTCAACCACACAGCAAAACTGTAGGCAATCTAGTGCATGGCAGACAAATACATTTAGTGCACAGAGACAGAGTGGGAAAAAAGCCCAGTATCTGCTAAGTCTTCATTAAATAATTAATACTAGACTAACGTATTCTGTGCTCCTTCTACCAACTATAAATGGAAATTCAGGCAAGTATTTTTCAAACACTTGGGTGAAGGCATCAATCAACACATACCACTCCCCACAGTGCACAGCCTTCAACACTCCCACAGCAGCTGTAGTCTGTCGTTCAAAACCTTGTCCTATGTGATCTGCATGGGCTCGTGTCCGGTCTTCAAATAGCATTTCACGGGGTTCACTGGTTCGAGGTAGGTACTGCAAGTTTTTTATTTCATTGGTAGTTCTGTATAAGGAAAACAATATTAGCAATATAGAAACGCCTCTTAATTACTTAATTTCCACCACATCCAACAGGATTGTTTTTATCTTTTCAGTGAGAACACATGTCAAATGAGAAAAACAGTAACACTTAGGACAAATTAAAAATGTAATGAGCTATGCAAAAAATCAGAACACCTATGCAATTAAAAAAAACAACCCATCAAAACCAACAACACTGTGTCAGGGCCTTGAGTGCACTAAAAGACTGAGCAGCCTCACCTGCACTCTCTACCCACAAACCCAGACAGAGCCCAGGAGCTTTCAGTCCTGACCTGAGCCATGGTGCAGGAGCACTGGTCTCCACCTCAGCCAGAGGGGTACAGACTTGCTTCCCAGCTTGACTTCAGGACCGCTTTGTCATGATAGACCCACCTGGCAATCACTGGACCTGATCCTCCCTGGCAGACTGACTTCCTGGCTTGACCTCAGACCTGCCCCATCACCACACACTTGCCTGATGCACCAGAGTCCGGGTTGAATCTGGTCCCCAAACCCCAGGTCTGCCCTACCTGCCTCCCTCAGGCACTGTCAGACTTGGCCCTACCCTGATCAGCCCCTGGCAGGGAACTGCTGGCATTTGCTGCTTCATGACTATTGGATATACATTTCAATTGTTCCTGAAGTCATTCTTCATCATTCATATTTCTACCAAACCACTGGGAAATGTGCATGTATATTTAGTTCTATGTTGTAGAACTGAGAGTGAGAAGCAGCAAAAGGTTATTTCTTCAAGTTTGAATTAAAGTGAAGGGTACACTGCAGAGCCAGAACAGAGCCACAAGACCATTTTCTTGTCCACCTGCAGCCAACATTGTGTGCCACATTCTTCCAAGAACTGCTCATAATCACAGGATAGCCAAGGTTGGAAGGGACATCTGGAGACTGTGTAGTCCAACTTCACCAACTAAACTAGAGCAAGTTGCTCAGGACCATACCCAGCCAAATTCTGTACAACTCCAAAGACGGAGACTCAACAAGCTCTCCAGCCAACATGTCCTAGTGTTCAACCATTGATTGATACAGTAAACTTTTTTTCCCCTTATTTTAAATGGAATCTCTTGTAATTCAGTTTGTGTCTATTACCTCTGATCACATCACTGGGCACTGCTGAGAAGAGTCCTCCTTACAACATCTGATCAGATGCTTATACACATTGATATGATCCCACTGAGCCTTCTTTTCTCAAGGGTAAATCCCAGCTCTCCCATGCCTGCTTTTCACATCACTAGACCTGCTCCAGTATGCCAGGTGTGTCTTAGACTGGTGACCCCAGAACTGGACACAATACTCCAGATATGTCTCACCAGTGATCAGCAGAGCAGAAGACTCGCCCCCCTCAACCTGCTGCCAGTGCTCTTCCTAATCCTGTCCAGGAGGCTGCTGGCCTGCTTTGCCCCAAAGGCTGATGGTCATCCATAAGGTCATCCACCAGGACTCCCAAGTCCTTCTCTGTTGGGCTGCTGTCCAACCAGTTGGTCCCCAGCCGGTGCTGGTGCACAAGGTTATTCCTCCCAGGTGCAGGGCTTTGCACATCCCAGTGTTAACTTTGTAAGACTCCTGCTGGCCCATTTCTGCAGCCTCCCAAGGTCCCTCTCACCGGTAGCACCACCCTGTGATGCATGAAGCACTCCTTTGAGTTTTGTATCACCTGCAACCTTGCTGAGGGAGTGCTCTGTCCCCTCATCCTTGTTACTAATGCAGATGTTGAACAGTATTGGCACCAAGTATCAGTGTCTTGGTTACTCCAGTAGCAACTGTCTTCCGGCTGGACTTTGTGCTGCTGATCACAACTCTTTAAGCACAGCAGTTAAGCCAGTTCTTGAACCACTTCGCTATTCATCAGTTTAGTTTGTCCTTCATTAATTTGTCTATTAGGATGTTACGGAAGACCGGTGTCTAGCAAGGAAAGCTTTGCTAAAGTCAAGATAAAACACACCTCAGCACTCCCCTCATCCTGTGAGACAGTCATTTTGTTGTAGAATGCTATCAGGGGTATAAGGCATCATTTCCTCTTTGTAAATCAATGCTAGCTAGTACCAACAATCACCTTGCCCCTCATGTTTGAAATGGCATCCTTCCCAGCATGAAGATAAGGCTGACTGGTCTACAGCTCCCCATGTCCTGCTTCTTACTCTTGTAAATGACTGGAGTGACATTTGCTTTCCTCCAGTCCTGAGGAATTTTTGCCAATTGCCCTGACCTTTCAAAGACAATCAAGAGTGGCCTTCCAATTATACTGGCCAGCTCCCACAGCAATTGTGGGTACATCCCATCAGGTTCCATGGACTTGTGTCTGCCTAATCTGTATGTCTGGTATGTTCCTTTAACCTGATTTTCTTTAACCTGATTCCACTGAAGGACAGTGGTTTTTGCTCCACGCTTTCCTACTGTCTCCAGAACATGGTATTCCTGAAGGTAAGTCTCACCAGTAAAGACAAAGGCAAAGAAAGCACCAAGTATCTTGGCCTTTTCTGTGTCCTTTGTCTCCAGGCCCCTTCCCCCTTCAGCAGACGGCTTAAATTTTACCCAGTCTTTCTTTTGCTGTCCATATGGCTGCAGAAGTCCTTCTTGTTGCCCTTCACATCCCTTGTCAAATTCAACTCCAGATGATCTTTGGCTTTAACTGCAATCCCTTCATGATTGAAGAGTGTCTCGATACTCCTTCTGAGGTACCTGACCCTGCTTCCACTTCTTGTATGCTCCCTTTTTATGTTTGAACTTTGAACAAGAGAACTCCAAAGACATAATTTTTCATGACATATAACATTAAAGTTCTGCAGAGGACATGCCTGCTCTCAAGCTGTTACTTATACACAGAACCACAACAAAGCTTAAAGACATTCATCTAATGTTGTAGGTGTCAGCTTTCCTTTCAGATGAGAGAGAAGCCCTTGTCCCTTGAGGTCTTCAAACATCCACTCACACTTAAGAACAGGGCTATTAATTCCAGTCTCCTGCCATACATCAGTAGCTGTATTCCTGTTCACATTTGCCTGCAGCTTTCGCCTTACATTCTGACTAAAAGTCCAAAAAGCACCAGCACCTTACTTGGCAAAATAGTAAACAATTAAAATAAAACCCACATCCTTACAAAAAAAAAAAAGTATATTTTGTGACGAAGATTTACAGAAATTTATACTAAAGATTAGTATCAACCAGTAAAAGATTTGGGATAAACGAATTTGTAAAGAAAGAATACTAACCAGACACTGATCAAGCAAAATAATTCAACATACCTCTTCCTTTTGAAAGGTGACTTTGGCATGTCAGCCACGGGGATCATTTGTTCTCCTGGACGTACCCACATAATGGGACCATCATCACTGTCTTTACGACTCTCTAATTTTAAACTAGAAAGTGTTCCCCATGGCAGTGTACACTAATGAGAAATAAAAGTCACAATTTTGAAGTGAGTTACTTTAAAAACTTTTTAAAAGCATTAGACCACTCAATTATCTAAGCAAGTATCACACAATCTCACTTTATTGTAACAGCACTATACAGTATATTGTCCCCCTTCTCCCAACCCATTCCCTTCTGTCCTTACTTTTAAGAAGGGCGATTCTTCCAACATATCAAGGAATTCAGGGAAGTAATCTCCCACTTCCTCATCAACTGCTCCAACCAGGCTGATCTGTCTCATTGGGCCAGCTCTATACGTACCATGAGAGTATGTTCTTTTTACCTACAAGTAGAATATGATAGCAAAAGTTATAGCGAGTCCACTACCGCTCAAAGTCTACATTCAATAAACACCTTTAATCTCTATGCTTATGTTTTCTGATTGGCATTAGTTCTACAGTCTTCTGTATACTTAAGATTATTATAAGTCATTTACTACAAACTCATCACCAAAGATAGAAGTTCTTGTATTTCATTTATTTTAAAGTCTGAAGGTAAGATTGAGTAACTATTTATTGCCTTTCAAGAAAGCAACATTCCCAAGTGGTAACTGTGAAAAGCTATCAATGTATGTTCTGCTCAAAAACTAGTAAATAAGGATTATTACCTGGATTACTCAAGTCTAGCTGAATTTTTACCTTTTTCCTGTAACAGTCAGGCAGAACCCTGAGTTATAACTAATTAAATTCTAAACATTTCCTCTGCTAATCATCCTCTCCAGTGGCCTCTTGCGTGAGCACATTAACAAGAGCTAATTATCACAGTGAAGACAAGGCTCATAAAGAGTTAGTACAGGAAGAGAGAGAATGAGTTATTCCTTCATTTTTCCTATGCTGTGCTAACACGTCTTGTGTTCTCCTAAAACTTTAAGCACTGCAATGTTCACCCCTCATGAAAAATATTTTATTTCGAACTTGAACAAAAACATATATGAGTTTTTTTGAGTAATCTGATCTGTCCTGTTACATCAACAAAATACTTAGGCATGAGATTGATGATGATCACTTCCCCTTAAACTTCCAATCTCCTATTTAACAGGCTGAAAGACAATGGTATTATTAGATGAAATATGACCAAACCAGAACAGAAGAAAAACAGATGGATTACTGCACAAACCAGGCAGGGCTCTTGCACTGCATCTCTAGAAATTCTACATCCAAAGCAAGAAAAGAAAAAAAGGTGGAAGGAAAACAGTTAATGAAATAGGGCTTAGCTATGGTCCTCACCAAAACAAACCACTAAAACTTCCAGAAATTATGGTAGCGCAGAGGAGAACTAGCTGCAGTTCCTAAAAATAGGACAGAATCATACAACATGGAATAATATTGTGGCCTTCTGAGAAGCTAGACTGATGTAACCAGAAGCATTCCAGAAATGCAGAACCAAAATACTCTTCTTCAGATCATCTCAGTCTCCATACACACCCAGGAAATGGACAACTGACAAAAAGTAGGATTTTACAAAGCATCTGAGCTAGTGTAATGGCAAGCCCTCACAGCCATACTGAATAGAGCAGTAGTACTAGATATCAGTATTTCCCTGTTCCCCAAACCCTTAGTCATACATTCCTGCAGCTTTTTTTGCACTGACACCTGGCGATTTTTTGATAAAACATGAGAAGACATTAATTTCTGCTGAATCTGCATCAGCTCAGTCCTCAGCTTTATCTGCACTGGCAAAAAGCACCAGGAGCTCACACAGCTAAAGCACTGGGACTATGAAGGGACACTCACTTATTGGCTTACTAAATAGACCAATTCAAAAGTACCCTAAAACCCCTTTCTGAAGCTACAGATAGTCATAAATCTGTTACTCACAGTTCACTGACAAACCTAACATCCAAAAGGATGGTTCTTCCACTGGCATAAGTAGCTTAGTATTCCCCCATTCCAAGCCAGGATATTGAGCTGCTGCTTCTATCCACACCCCTGATTAAAGGGAACCATTTTTCTGCCTTTTTCCTTGCTCCCTTCTGCTATCACTACCATTCACACAGCATACAATAAACTAGTTGTGGAACTACTTCAACCGAAAACTCTACAACTTCCCCAGAAAACACTAACTGAAGTTAGGAGAGGCTGTGAAGCTTTCAGCTGATCAACTCACCCATCTGGCTTACTATGTACCGCTAGGTGTTGGCAGTGAAACAAAGTCAGTGAAGTATTTAAGTGCAACATAACTGATGCACCTTAAGAAATGATTAACAAATTTCTTATATATCCCCAACAAGGCCATGTCACTGAAAGCTGAAAGATCAACTTCTTTAAGCATTGTTTGTCCATTCCAATTCACTCCTAGCTCTCCTGATGAATTAAGTTTCCTCATTCACCAAGTAGAGCAGACTCCTTTTCAAGATCCAGCTTGGGAGAGGTGAAATACCAAAAATAACATCAAGATAATGTCCCAGTTACAAATGATAAGCAGTTTCTTCTGGGACCATATTCAGAGTCATATCATCGGAAACACACAGTATGAAATGTTTGAGCGGTTAAGAACTCCGCACCGGCTAAGTACCTCAGCCCCTTGCTCCCTCAACACCCCCAATGGTGAGAGACCTAGAAGAGAACAGGAAAAGCAAGGAAACACATGGATCGAGATAAAGACAGTTTAATGAGTGAAGAAAGAGGAAAAAACACCAAGTGGTGCAGGCAATCACTCACTACCACCTCCTACAAACAAATCAATGCACAGACAGCCTTGGAGCAACAGCTACCTTCCAGACCAACACGCACCCCCCTACTGGCCTCCACAGTTTTTAATTGCCAAGCATGATGTCACATGGTGTGGAATATCCCTCCGGTTTATTTGGGTCAGCTATCCCAGCTATGTCCCCTCAACTTCTTGCCCATTGCTGCCTACTTCCCAGGGGGTCCAGAATAGGGATAATGAGAAAGGCTTGACACTATGCAAGTGCTGCTCAGTGATAGCCAAAACACCACTGTGTTATCAACAGTTTTAGTCACAAATCCAAAACACAGCCCCATAATAGGTTCCTATGAAGCAAATTAACTCTAACCCATCCAGACCCAGCATAAATGGAAAATAAATCCATGCTGGTGATGAAAGGGAAAGATCTGCTCTCTCTTCTTCCTTTCTTTGCTGCTTGCATTAGGTCTTCTGAAGGTGGACAGGGAGCCATCTAAGGGAACTGATCTGATTTTAATCCACAAATTACATTAAGAAGTTTTTTGGCTTTTTTTTTTTTGAGGGGGAAGGGGGGTGAGCAGTGTTAGACAATTATATAAAAAAGAATTAAATAAAGACATAGGCCACAAAGACTAATGCCTGGCCAGAAAGAACTAGACTAAGTCTGGAAGAGGAGGCAGCTGTTGGCAGTGGAGAGTGACTCCTACCCTCATCTCTCCCATGGACCAGGTTACAGCATCCTAAAACCTGGGGGTCGCTACATAAATAACACTACCTTAAACTAGGCTAAAGAATTAGAAAAATATATACATACATAAAAGATTAGACCATTCTTAAAGGGAAGATCTATCTAACAACCACAATTAATTTTCACTCACTGTAAAATTAGACTGCTACTAAGTAACAGTGTGAAAACACCAAAAACCTTCTATCGATATTTGACCAACAACAGAAGATCAATCCTCTTAAAGACAACAAAGTAATTATAATCTATGGCACACTAAATAACAGCAACATTTTCCTTTCCTTTTACTGTCAGCATCCTTTCACTGCTTTCTTCACAGGAAACAGAAAAGATTTGTCTATTCTAAATTCAGAAAAACAATGCTGAGGTACTAAAACCAGTACTTCTTCACTGAACTCTATTCATTAATTTATTCACTGACCACAAATCAAATATTACAGACCAACCTTTGAAAAGGTAATCTTCCTGAATGTAACTTTACAAGTTACAGTGTGACTATGTTTTTCGGATGTTACATATTTGCTCAAATAGGTAGCTCAAACAATCTAAACCCAGAACAAAAGGCCTCAATGACATGCAGTTTGACCATGTAGTCAACATGATCAGAATCAATACACACACACACAAAAAAACACCAATTAAAAGCAGTATAATACAATGAACAGGTAAAACAGACAGAAATATATAACTGAATACATATGACATAGCCTAACTTCTTTCTTCTCATCTAGCTTAAACTTGAAGTATCTCACCTAAAAACATACAAAAAGAGACTGTCATTCTCTTGCATCATGGTAATGGAAAATTACGACAGTAAAACCACCACTGAATTCAGAATTAGCAAAACTTCAGAATTACCTGCTTCTGTAATTAGTATGGCATAAATTGATTTTTTCCGTAAGGCCTAATGGATGGACCACCCACTGGATAAGGAATTGGCTGGATGGTCACACTCAAAGAGTTGTGGTCAACAGCTTGATGACCAAGTGGAGACCGGTGACGAGTGGCGTTCCTCAGGGATCAGTACTGGGATCAGTGCCATTTAACATCTTTGTCAGAGACACACATGGACAGTGGGATTGAGTGCACCCTCAGCAAGTTTGCCGACGACACCAAGCTGTGTGGTGCAGTCAACACAATGGAGGGAAGGGACGCCATCCAGAGGCACCTGGTCAGGCTCGAGAAGTGGGCTAATGCAAACCTCACGAAGTTCAACAACGCCAAATGCAAGGTCCTGCACATAGGTCG